ATAAAAAACTGATTATATTCGAATAAATCATCACACCTTTTTTCATTTTCCATTTTCAAATGACTTTAAATTTTTATGAAAACTATCAAATGATTATGTTAAGATTTAGAAAATGTTAATGAACATAATTTTATTATTGAAGTCGGAGAACCTCCAGTTATGAAGAATTTTATAGTTCATTTAACAACATCAACAAAGAAATTGGACTCATCTATCTTGCGGATATGCATTTAAATGAAATGAAAAGGATATGAAAAGGCATTTCGGGAATGAAAGATCGTTTGAAATTTCTTGGGTTGTGCGTTGAAAAAAAATAAAGAAATTTGCTGAAAATGGATGCAAATCTGAATTGAAGGGCTTAAAGCATGCCCTTGATAAAAACGTTAGCGTAACATGTGGTACCATACCGGTGATTGTCATTACATTGGTATAGAGAAATAGCATTTAAATAGCTGCCGAAAATGGATATTGTTATGGAATTAATTTGGATCAATTGAAAGCATTTGAATGGCATTAAAAGAAGATCCAGAAAACAATGGACATAATACTTAATTGGATATTCTTCGATGAAGAGGATGTGAAACTGAGCAAGATATTGTAAAAGCTATATATCAGTTGAATAAAGCAAAGAAAAATATAAATATACTGCCAAACTAATTTTAAAAGGAGTAATCCATAATGTGACCAGCGTACATTTGTGGGAAGTTGAAACATCGGAATAATAAAAAGTTAAGATAACAACTTTTTTTATACTCAGAAGCTAGTTCCTTTTGTTAGAAATATTCTATTAATATTCTAACTATGTCATGCTTCAAATATTAAAGAATATTTTGTGTTTCAAACGTGACAATAATTATTCTGAATAAAAAAATATAAATTTATAGACAGAAAGATATCGAAGATTTCAAAAATAAATAAGTTTTCTTTTTTGAAATTCGTCTATAATTCTTTTTTTTTAAAAAAAAAAAAAAAAGAATTATTTATCCCGAATTTTTAATTAAAATTGTATTTTAAGTATCAGGAAACGAAAATGTTATTTAGAATCTAGGTGAATCTTATTATGATAACAAATCAGAAGTGAAAGAAAATAAAAATAATTAATTAAATTATATTAACAATGCAGTTACAATATTTATTTAATTATCGAATAAAATAGGGTTTTGTAATTAATATTTACTGCAAAACGTAGTCAAAAGTAAAAAAAAAAAAGAAAAAATAATATTATTAATTTTTTCTTCTATTGTATATAATAATAATATCTTAATAATATAATAAAGTAATGGTAAATGTGTTTTTTTTTTCACTAAAGTATTAAACTTCATAAATCATATAAAATTTACAAATATAAATTTCTTATTCGATACAGTGTTTGAAATTCAATGTGCGAAATGTTCGCTAGTACAAAATTTGAAAACACCGCACATAAAAAAAGGGGGTCAGCACAAATTTTTGCATATAGAATTTTAAATTATGTAAATTCCGCGCAGGATTTAATATTTGAATTTCAAACACTGATTCGATGTTACCTATTCATAAACTTTTTATACTACAATTTTAAATAAATAAATAAATAACTTTTAATAATATGAATTATGAGTGCATTGACAATTCTTGATGCATTAATAAAAATAAGGCTAATATACAATAAATAGTTATTAACTTTATCACAGACAGATAGTTTTCTTTGTTCTTCCGACTTCTTTTCTGTCATTCCTTTTAAACACGTTCTTTCTCTTATCATCATTATTCAATAATTAATTTCAATTATTTAATTATTTTCTTATCTACTTTATCCACCCAAATTATTTTTTCGATTACAATTTTTAATTCTCACTTGAACTCGAAAAAATGAAGAATGAGGTTACGAAAATTTTTATCTCTTTTGATAATTCTTTCAATATTCCTTTTTGAATTCTCTATTTCTTACGTCTTTTAATTATTTAATTATTATTATTAATTAATAGTAGATCCGTTTCAACGTGATATTCGTAGGGAAATTTTTATACTAGTAAATAATAAATTATTAAAATATTATTTTAAAATTAAACTCTTTATGATAATATTAAAAACTTTAGTGATTTCTTCATAGTGTGGTGGCACGAAAATGTCTGCGGCCATTGAGGGTGGCGAGCAGAGGTGGCAGTAGTACTAAGATAGGGCGTGTACTACTATTTGGGTGAAGTACAGAGGTGGCTATTAATTCTCCCTTGTGCAACACCTCCAAAAGAAAATGTGTTATGGGTAGCAACTGAGGGTAAAGATAAATAAAAAGAAAGATATATAAAGAAGTAGTGATCGCGCGGCCGCAGGGAAGCCAAAAAAAAAAAAGGAGTAAAAAACGAAGAATTTTTCCTTTTATTATCATAGCACATTTTTTATATAATAATAATAATTTTATCATAATATCTGCTTATAACATTAATAATAGTAATAATTTTGTAGTGTTTTGAATTAATATTAGTAATAATTTTCATAATATAAGTATAGAAGATTAGTGGTAGTCATAGACACAACATCTTGTAATATTTCTACTATTAAGTTACTATAATAAAAATCATCTACTTGAATAATAAACTCACTTACCTTGCTTAAATAAAATCTGCATCAGTAAGCCTACTTAATTTAAAAGTGTTCGAGTAATTGGTGAGATACTTCTACTCCTCTTCTCATCGTACCTCTCAGATCACACTATCATTTTAATTGTTTGAGTTGTTATCTGTGCCAGAGGCCAATCCTGCTGACAGAAAACGTGTTGTAGAAAGAGATAAACGTGAGATCTTTGAGTAACAATAGTCGAGACATCGGTTACACATCTGTTAAATGAACTCTAAATGGTAGCATAAATTAATAAATCATTTGCGCCAATTTTAGTTTTATGATTTGTCGTTTTGTCGTACAGACAATTTCATAAAAAATATTAGATGTCGTTTTTTATTGTCGTTAAAGTGATTTCTTATTTTTCAAACTCTATATAATTTATAAATAGAAAAAAAAATGTCTTTAAAATTTTTTGACAAATTATCTCAAAATTTTATTGAACTACTAAATGATAAAGATGATTACAACGTAGTCATTGAAGTTGAAAATAAGAATAAAAATTTCACGGCACATTCTAATGTTTTGAAATATCGATCATCATATTTTCGTAGAGAATTAGAAAATATTCAGCCAAATGAAAATAATATTAAGACCATTATTAATTCGAGTATATCTGCTCAAATTTTTGATATTATTCTCAAGTAAGTTACTATCAATAATAAAAATATTATCTCTTGTTTTATTATTTTTATAAATATATTTTTATTTATTTTATTTAGATATATTTATGGAGGATTTGTTAATTTGGAGAACGTAGAAACCAGATTCATTTTTGATTTAATGTTAGCTGCTAATGAACTTGAACTTAAGGAATTAACAAACAAATTAGAAATTCATCTCATTGATAGTAAAACTTCTTGGTTAAAAACTTATTTTTCTCATATTTATCGTACTATTTTTAACAAAAACAATTTTAAAAATTTAGAAAATTATTGTAACGATATAATTACAAAGCATCCAAGTCTTATTTTTGAAAATTCGGATTTTACTTCTCTTCCTGAATCTGCATTGGTGTCACTTCTTAAACGAGATGATTTAAATATGGAAGAAGTTAAAATTTGGGATTATGTCATTAAATGGGGAATTGCTCAAAATTCCACTCTCCCTACAAACCTTGAAGAATGGTCAAAAGAAAATTTTCTTACATTAAAAACTACATTACATCAATGCCTACAATATATTCGTTATTTTCACATTTCTTTTATTGAAATTTTGGATAAAATTAAGCCTTATAAAAAGATTCTTGATAAACAACTTTGGAACGATATTAATTTGAATCTAGCAGCTCCCGACCGACCAATAAAATCAATTATTTTACCAGCAAGATCCCCCTTGGTTATAGAATTACCTCTTCGGGTAGAACCAAAAAAACCTTTTTCAACAATCATTTCTGAGGAACATGCTGCAGAAATTTCTAGTTGGATTGATCGTAAAACGACTGTTTATTCAAAAACAAATATTCCATATAAATTTGAATTAATTTTATGTGGAGCTAGGGATGGGTTTGCTCCACAAACATTTTGGAATATTTGCCATGGCCATGGTGAAACAGTTGTGGTAGCAAAAGTTAAAGGGACTGACGAGATACTTGGAGGTTATAATCCTTTAGGATGGGATAATTCTTGTAGTATTGGTAAATATATGGAAACAAAAGATAGTTTTATTTTCTCACTGAAAAATGGTACTGTTAAAAATTATATTCTTAGCAGAGTAAGGAAAACACGAAATGCAATTCGAAATGTATCCAAAAATGATCAGCTTAGGATTGGGCCACATTTTGTAGATTTTTTCTTACGTAGTGAAAAATCGGATTTTACTTTGGATGATAAAAATTACTGTGAAAATTATAATCATGCTAGTAATTATTATGAAGAACCCATAAGAATATCATCAAAAAGCTTTTCTATTATTAATTATGAAGTATTTAAAATTGTTAGAAAATCTTAAATAATTAAAAAATATTTATTTATTAAAACTTATGTAAGTTTTTATCATTTACAAATAAAGTGAAGACTCCGTTAGCCATTAAAAAAAAAGTTTAAAATGCATGAATCAATTTAGCAAGTTCTTTCATATAAAAAGATTTGCATTTTCACTCTCTTTACTAGGTCATCACAACTAATAATAAGTTTTTCATCGTTTGATTTTATTTCTCTCTAGATAAACAATTTGTGAAATTATTTTTTCATTATTGTTACACTTTAAAAGTGTGTATTTCTTGTAATATTTTTTAATTCAATTTCCCTTCAAGACACTAATAGAATATATATTTTTTAATTTCTACTAAAATTTTTTAAGTTTCTTTTTCGCAAATTTCATAAATACATTAAATCACATTAATTAGTAATAATATTTAAGTAGAATAATCTATTTTATTAATGATCTTAATTCATCATCTTCATTTACTTCTTAAAACCATTCCTTCGAGATTTATACTCTCCATTCTCTTCATTTTCAATTTTTATAAATTTTATTTCATCATCAGGTCCTGATTCGATTGCTCTTTGATAACTTTTTACTTTTAACCTATTGAAAAAATGCAAATTATTTTTTATTATGAATTAATGAATATGCGAGAGATAATTTAAGTGTTACTTAAAAAAAAAATCTAAAACTAAAAATTAAAAAAAAAAAAAACGATAAAAATATTTTCATTATTAAATATTACTTATACCACAAGAATTACAAAGTAAAGCTTCACCTGTAAAATCTCTTCTCCAAGCAGAAGTTTCTCGAGCTCCACAATTTGAATAACGGTAAATATCCCCATTTTTTGGATAACACTGATTTTCTAGACCATTATTATTATTGTTATTACAATGATAGGGGTGCTCGATTCTTCCACGTCATCTTTTTTGTGTTAATTGTAAGTATTTTAATTTATTGCAATTGAATCAATGATGTAATTATCGTTGTTGTTATAGTTGTTATTAATGTTGGTGAAAATTATTAAGAATAAAGTGATTAAATAATATTTTATAAGTAAATATTTTTTTATTATTGTTGTTATTCTAGTTGAAAAGATTTCCTCTATCGGAAGCAGGTGGTAGTAGCTATGATGGAGGATTGAAAAAAAGCTCAAAGAGAACAATGAATGCGTAACATTAGATAGTCATTATTATTGAAATTTACGAGAATATTTCGAAACAAAATTTTGAAAAATTTTGAACTGAAAATAATTAGTTATTATTATAATAATAATGCTAATATTTATTTATTGAAAGAAAGAGAAAAAAAAAATAACGAGTTTTATCATATAAAGAAAAAAATGTGATTATTTGCTATTTTTCTTGATAATTTAATTTTTATGAGATCTAATTTGATTAATTATTAATGTTATTGTAGCAATTAAAAATGATTATTACACGATGCTTACGTTTAGAGTAACCATATCATCAAAAAAATAAATTAAATCCGTACGGGTCACATGTTAGTTTATATTTAAATTCATCTTTATATCGATAAAAAAGTTTGAAGTTTGTACCAATTCTTCAAGCTGGAATTGATTCACAGTCAACAAAAAATCAAAATATTTACATACATATCTATTATATAATAAATTATTAAAATATTATTTTAAAGTTAAACTTGCTTTAAAAAAAAAACTTTATATATTGGTAACACAAAACTGTCGAGCGAACTTTAAATGGTGATCATTGAGGATTCTTCACTAAATGGTCACGGGGATGACAGAGGATGATAGGTGTCACTATTTGGATGAATTATCCTTGTGTGTCATCCAATCCAGGATAACTGTTTATTCATCCTGGCACAAAAACTTTTTTTTTTTGTATGACAAAGGATGAAGGTAAACAAGAAGAAAAATTATAAAAATAGTTGCGGTGGGGAAGAAAAGAAAAGAGATTGCTTTTCGCCAAAAGAACAAGAACCAAAATAAAAATATTTTACTTGATATTTCGAACAATTTTAATTTTAGTTTTATTTTTACTTAA